GGAACCCATGACATCTGCCAATAACAGGAACCCACAGACACTGTCAATAACAGGAACCCACAGACATTGTCAATAACAGGAACCCACAGACACTGCCAATAACAGGAACCCACAGACACTGCCAATAACAGCAACCCACAGACACTGCCAATAACAGCAACCCACAGACACTGTCAATAACAGGAACCCACAGACACTGCCAATAACAGGAACCCACAGACACTGTCAATAACAGGAACCCACAGACACTGTCAATAACAGGAACCCACAGACACTGCCAATAACAGGAACCCACAGACACTGCCAATAACAGGAACCCACAGACACAGCCAATAACAGGAACCCATAGACACTGCCAATAACAGGAACCCACAGACACTGCCAATAACAGGAACCCACAGACACTGCCAATAACAGGAACCCACAGACACTGCCAATAACAGGAACCCACAGACACTGCCAAAAACAGGAACCTACAGACACTGCCAGTCACATGAACCCACAGATACTGCCAATAACAGGAACCCACAGACACTGCCAATAACAGCAACCCACAGACACTGCCAATAACAGGAACCCACAGACACTGCCAATAACAGGAACCCACAGACACTGTCAATAACAGCAACCCACAGACACTGCCAATAACAGGAACCCACAGACACTGTCAATAACAGCAACCCACAGACACTGCCAATAACAGGAACCCACAGACACTGACAATCACATGAACCCACAGACACTGCCAATAACAGGAACCCACAGACACTGCCAATAACAGGAACCCACAGACACTGCCAATAACAGGAACCCACAGACACTGCCAATAACAGGAACCCACAGACACTGCCAATAACAGGAACCCACAGACACTGTCAATAACAGGAACCCACAGACACTGCCAATAACAGAAACACACAGACATTGCCAATAACAGGAACCCACAGACATTGCCAAAAACAGGAACCTACAGACACTGCCAGTAACATGAACCCACAGATACTGCCAATAACAGGAACCCACAGACACTGTCAATAACAGCAACCCACAGACACTGCCAATAACAGGAACCCACAGACACTGCCAATAACAGGAACCCACAGACACTGTCAATAACAGCAACCCACAGACACTGCCAATAACAGGAACCCACAGACACTGTCAATAACAGCAACCCACAGACACTGCCAATAACAGGAACCCACAGACACTGACAATCACATGAACCCACAGACACTGCCAATAACAGGAACCCACAGACACTGCCAATAACAGGAACCCACAGACACTGCCAATAACAGGAACCCACAGACACTGCCAATAACAGGAACCCACAGACACTGCCAATAACAGGAACCCACAGACACTGCCAATAACAGCAACCCACAGACACTGCCAATAACAGCAACCCACAGACACTGCCAATAACAGGAACCCACAGACACTGTCAATAACAGGAACCCACAGACACTGCCAATAACAGGAACCCACAGACACTGTCAATCACATGAACCCACAGACACTGCCAATAACAGGAACCCACAGACACTGCCAATAAC